GCTCTGTAACAGAACTTGTTGAGACCACAACTGCAGTACCAGGAAGAACGACAAGAGGCCAAGAAACACCTGTTACCTCTAAACCTTCTACTGTTACTAAAATCACACCAACACCTTCCAGAACCACTGGCGAAAAAACAACTAAAGCTTATGTACTAACCAGTGTGGGTACAAAACAGCCTGGTGAGGCTACCACTAGTCAATTAACATTCTCTACCACAGCAGTTTATGAAGCCACAACTTCAGTCCCTGAGGGAACAACCAAACGCAGCGAAAGTACAATTGTATCATCAAAGCCCTCTCTTCTTACAACAACTACAAAAGGCCCAATCAGCACAACCCAGAGAGCAACAACTGAGTCTGCAGAAACCACCTTTGCAGGAACAACAACAGTGGAGATTGGAACAACAACACCTTCAAAGGTTGGCACAACAGGCCCAGTGACTGGCTCTGTAACAGAACTTGTTGAGACCACAACTGCAGTACCTGGAAGCACAACAAGAGGCCAAGAAAAACCTGTTACCTCTAAACCTTCTACTGTTACTAAAATCACACCAACACCTTCCAGAACCACTGGCGAAAAAACAACTAAAGCTTCTGAAGTAACCAGTGTGGGTACAAAACAGCCTGGTGAGGCTACCACTAGTCAATTAACATTCTCTACCACAGCAGTTTATGAAGCCACAACTTCAGTCCCTGAGGGAACAACAAAACGCAGCGAAAGCACAATTGTAACATCAAAGCCCTCTCTTCTTACAACAACTACAAAAGGCCCGTTCAGCACAACCCAGAGAGTAACAACTGAATCTGCAGAAACAACTTTTACAAGTACCACATTGGGTGTTATAACGGGACAGTTACACTCAACAAGAGGAGTTACTGATGCTTTGGTGAAAAACACAACAACCATAACCACACAAAACCATTTAATAGGCACAACCATTATCGCACCGTTAACAAAGACACTTCCTGGAACTGCAACAGTTTACCAAACTAGATCCACTATCCAGACAACCACAGCAAGGGTCCATTCATCTTCACCACATTCGACAGCATCGTGCATGTGTATTGTTAACGGAACATCTCATCAACCCGGTAAGTCTTTTCTGTTTTGATAATGTTTGATGTGTATGTATATATATATATATATACATTTTATGTTCATTTTCTGTTATGCTGCATCACTCTAGATGTTTTGCGATTGTTTATTTCGAAAAAAGTCGTTTTGATGAATTGTTTCCCAAATATTCCTCTCAAATTGCCATTTTTTTTAAGTATTTTTAATACTTTTTTTAAAAACTTTGTTATCAGCATGTAATTTAGCAATTTCCATTGCATGTGCTCAACCTTTCTCCATAATCTGTTTTACACAGGGGACCTGTTATACAATGTTTCTGATGGCCTTGGGTGGTGCTACAGTGCATATTGCAATGCATCTTGTAAAGTTGAAACACAATCCACCCCTTGTCCAACATATATACCTAGCACTACTGCACATTCCTCTTCTTCACTGTTCAGCACAACGAATGCCCCTATTACAAGCTCAGTACCCCTGACCACAACCAGAGCAGCATCTACAGCTATCCAAGTCTGCTATGATGGAAATGTACCCAAACAGGTAAGGCATCAATATATCTTCCATAAAGATAAGTGGTTTATCAATAATTGGCTCCAAAATGATCTAACAGTCAGAACCCATAAAGGAAATAGTACAACCATACAAAAACATCCAGATCTTAATCAATTGGGTTAGGAAGACTGTATTGTATGAAGTTTTGTATGAAGCATACGTAGATGTCTGAAAATGGTAAACAACTACCGCCCTAAAAATATAACTTTTTTTAACCACTGATTTTAGACTACTTAGTTTTCATGAAAATTATACAACACAAGTAAATTAAGCTCTACAACAGCTCTGAAGTCAGCAGGTCCTAAATACAATTGTTTGTTAAACGTGTAGAGGTAATCTTTTCTAGTGAAGCCACTGTTACATTTATTACACTCTTATGCATTTTTTGATTTATTTACATAGCAGAAAAAAAATGCCTCATTTTTTATTTTTTTTAATCTCACCAAAAAAAGAAAATTATGTCAAACAGTGCAAAGATCCATAAAAACACTTTTGAAAACCAAATAAATATCTCAGATTCTAGAAACCAGTATATTGACTGTAACTGTAGAAAATTAGGGCTAAACCATTTGAAGCCCATTTTCTCCCACAAGCATTTTAACCACATTTTGTTCGATGCGGCTATCATTTACCAAAACTGTGCCAGATGTATTTTGTACCTCATAAAGGAGAATCTGGTCAAATTAAATCATAAATGCTTTATTTAAAAAGTAGTGCTTTGCACATACGAGAAATTAGTTTGGTGATGAGGTTGTACTTTAGATAAGCAAACACAGAGTTGACATAAATTCAGGAATATAAAGACTTGGATTAAACAAATGTCAGCTATATATGAACAGCATGGCATGCAACAGCAGTATAGCAACAGCATAAAATTAGATCAGACAAGTGCTGATATCAGTTGTAGGACTTCTGCATCAATAATGGTATTTAGTCTGTTTCATCAAAATCCACTGCTGTACACAGCATTATGTCGATGGAAGTTCTGTAACCTAAGAAGAATATTACTGTCTTGAAAAAGGTGTTACAAAGGTGTTACTATAAATCCTTGGAAAGTCGAATTTCTCTATATTTCTCTATATCAAACATTATGGATTTCAACAAGATGATGGGTGTCCTCTGTAGAGCTTTTTTAAGACTCAAAATATGTATAGGAGCTGTAAATGTGCAAAGGTGGTGCTCTAAAAATGTATGCATCTTTCGACAATTCCTCTTTTGAGGATTAAAAGCTCAATGGAATTAAGAAAAGTCTGTTTTTTTAAGTTTAATAGCATAGTTTAAACACCTGCCTTGGCTGGGCTCACCTGTAAGCCTAAGCTATGTTTTAATGAATTTTTATTGCATATTGTTCTTATCAAGAAATACTAAATATTACTAATTAATAGCTACTCCAAATATAGTGACAGTATACTTCAGATTGGGAACAGGATTATGTTATTTCCAGACCCAGACATTCCCGTCACTTGGTTCACTTCCCTCCAGTGATAAATGGTAACCAACCATTAGGTCATTTTTAACATCTCCTTCCCATTCAGAACGGAGAATCCTGGGTGACTAAGAACTGCATGACAGCTACTTGCACAGAAGGCGAGATAACAGTCACACCTGTGGTCTGTCCAAACGTAACACAACCCATCTGCACCAATGGGAGGAAACCTGTCAAGATCTACGAACAGAATGGATGTTGCTTTCATGAAGAGTGTGAATGTAAGTTCAGTGGTTAATCATCCACGATGTCAATAACATTTTTGCCGTTACTCAATTCACTAGAACGCGAGTACGGACTCGTGTCCTCGCCAAGTATGTTCTTGAGAAGAACACAGGAAAGTCTGGACTCTGGGACAATGGGAGCTTGCAGAATAAATCTGGGTCAATTGAAACAGAAATGTACTCCTGACATCACCACACACTCGGCTCGTCTGGAGCTGCATTTCATCTCCTGTTATTAATAGTCTCTAGATAATAATAAACTCTTAGTTTTTTCATTTAGTGGGGGGATGATAATGAACACAGTCAGATAAGCACAAATCAAATGAACATTTTGCCAAATAAAACAAAAAAAAATCGCCATCATAGCCAGCGGTCCTTCACACACTGCTATGCAGAGTGAGGGCTGCTGCAGACGGGTTAACTTTAGAACTGGCTGCCGTTATCCTCAGAGCTCCCTTGTTGCGGCGGTCCTCTCAGCTTTGGAACATTTTTTTTTAAATGACACATTAAATCAGTAAGTTGGATATATAGTGACGCTTAAAAGTATAATGATCAAATGATCTTAAAATGTACTTTTGTTGAACAATGGCAACTTTTAACTTAATACTCTGAGCTCTGTGAGCGCTCCATTGAAAGCTGCTGCTGCCGCAGTGCATGCTGGGACAGCTGTCAATCTCAAGAACGGACAATTCTGTTCTGATGCATGCTGGGAAAAGGCGAGGGAGGGGCGAGAACAACATCTGGGGACTTTGTCCGTTCTCGGTCTTCTGTTCTTGTGAATTGGAACAATGCTAGGGCTGAGAATGATGCATTTCATGAGCACATGAGAACGCACAAGTTCACATATTGAGAAACAACCTTTGTCTGCCTAGTGTGGGGATTTCTTTCTTTGCATGTAGTGTTCAGAAGCAGTACACATGTACCTTTGATCCTAACTTTGAGTAGAAACACCTGAACACGTCAGATTCCTCCATACTCTTGCTCCATGACATGCCTCCTCTTCCTGCAGGTGTTTGCAGTGTCCTGAGTGGATCCTACTACACTACTTTTGACGGCCAAATGTACAATTCCCAACAGAACTGCTCCTGTTACTTGGTTAAGGAGATTATTTCTAAATATAACCTGACCATCACAAGAAGCAATGAGTGTGATCCTACAGACACCACATTCTGCCCTCTGGCTCTCACCATCACCTACCAGTCATTGGTGATAGTTTTGACTCAGATTAAGAGTTCAGGAACACCAACAAATGTGGTAAGTAGCAGTTTAATCTCAACGAGTCCAATTAAAAATTTTCTGTGAATTTCACAGCCGTTCTAAATGTGTTTTTCTTTGGGTTCTCCAGGTCTATGTAGACCAGAAACGCATATATCCAGCCTATAGCAATTCGGTCCTGCTCCTGTTTGGCACAGATATGGAGATCACTGCAGAGATACCAAAGATCAACACAAAAATCATTTTTAGGGGCTCCTCCTTCAGCATCGACCTTCCCTATTCACTGTTTGAAGGAAACACTGAGGGACAGTGTGGTAAGATATCAGTCTGTTTGGTTTATCATTTTACAGTCATAGTATGAGTTAAAAGGCAATAGATTAGAGTGGAAAATGATCATGTCTTGTAAACTTAAACTTATAGGATTTGATTACAGTTATTTAGTTTAACAGCTATTCAGAATGATCCAAAGATCAGGGATTCTCCAAGTGTACGATGATCCAGTTTAGCAGTGATTTCATATATACAGCCTTTGAATGCTGGTGTTATGCCATATTTTGCGAGCAATCATATATTGTGACTAAAGGGGGCGCTACATGTATTTCACTTTAAATTTCTTTAGGTTTAGGAATTGATTTATTTATTTTAGGGTTTTATGCAGGTGAGGATTCTCAGTCACCCAAGTCCCAGTCATTCCAAATAAGTAAAAAAAAACATTCCACCGGACTTTGTGTTCAAGTTTTAAGACATTTCGCTTCCAATCCAGGAAGATTTTTGAATTCAGAATGTAAAAATTTGAATTTTTTGACTGTGTTTAAGTTTTTAATTGAGGACCAAGTTGTATCAGTGGGGAATGATGAAAAGCAGCTGTGCTCTGCCTCTAAACGCTGCCTGTTTCTGTAGGCACTTGTGACAACTCCCCGGCCAATGACTGCCGTTCTCCAAACGGAAACATTGAAAGCTGCTCAGAAACTGCAAGACTGTGGACTATCCCCGGAGCGCCCTGTCCCACTCCCAGCCCCACCTCACCTGTTACCACAGCAACACCTGTAACTTCATCACAGGGGCCTTTCCCAACCACACAACCCGCCTGCAAACCTGCCATCTGTGAGCTGCTTAGGAGCAGGTTAGGAAAGCTGCAACCCAGAAAAATGTCTTTTCCTTATGGAGGGGATTTAGATTTGTCATTTGTATAAACAGTGTATACAAAACAAAATTTCATTTCGTACAGCTTTCATGACATTTGCATTTCTTAAAGTGCAGCATTGATCAAAAAACAGTGTAGGAGAAAAAATGTTGTTCCATCATTGTCACAAGGAAAGTGTTTTTTATTTTAAACCTGAAAATAGTAAAATCCAGAAATAAAACTTTGAAAAATATTTTAATTTAAAAAAAGAGTTTGAAAATACATTTTCTGTTTTAACAGATTTTTTTTATTGATTTTTTTTTTTATATTCTATTTTGTCAAATGTTATCTTTCATTTTTTTTTTACAGGTTCTATATTTTGAGATATTTTTCAAATTTCTATTTTTACAGATTTTAAACAAATTGTTGTTTTTCAGATTTTTTTCATGAATCCCATCGTCTTCCTTTCTAGAGACAGGCTTTTTCTATTGGTCTTTACGGACATTAGTTACAATGTTTTTATTGGTTATCGGTGCGTTTGTGTTGGGCTAGAAGTGAAGGAAAAGTGAAATCCTAATCCAAAAAAAACAAAATCTGTAAAAGAAATTATATTTAAAAAAAATAATAATTACAAAAATTTGAGAAAGCAGCTAAGTTACCTTTAAATCCTTGTTTTTCTTTAAAATGTTTATAAAGATTTCAAATATGGATTACATTTTCTTTTCGGATTTCCATTAGAAACCATGTTCTTTGCTTTCATTAACAATAAAATAATAAAATTCCTCCACACCTTACATATATTTATTTTTATTACAAGTGATATCGTCATGCTTTAGCATTATGTGAAGTTTTAAGCATTAAGTTGTCTTGTCAGATTCTTCCTCTTTTCCACATTTATCATCTTATTCACATATTTTGAAGTGCAGGTTTTTAGAATCTCTATCTCAGACTGATTCCTCTGTTCTTCTAACATGCATCCATTTTCCCCTTTAGCCTTTTTGCACCGTGCCACACCTTAATTTCTCCTGAATCATACGTGAAAACCTGCACCTATGAAATCTGCAACGGTGGCAACGACACCTGCTCCAGCCTGGAGGCGTATGCTGCTGAGTGTTCCAGCGTTGGTGTTTGTATCGACTGGAGGAATTCCACCGGTGGACTGTGTGGTGAGGCCTTCGGTTCTCAGTGGGTCTCATCGGTGGGAAATCTGCAAAATCTTCAAATTAACATGACTCTCTCTTTTAGAGCATAGATGTCCGAGCAACAAAATTTACATGGCATGTGGCCCGTCAGTAGAGCCCACATGCAATGACAGGTACAGCCAACATTTATTCCCATTGCTGCATATTTATCGTTTATTTTTAGTTTGCTAATTGTAGTTTAGGCTGCTCAGTTGGGCACAGGGTAGCACTGCCGCCCTGCAGCAAGAAGGTTCTGCGTTTGGTTTAAAAATTCAAACAGCTGCATCTCAGTTTTTGCAGATACCTCATCCTCTAGTGACACCTCAAAGAAACTGACTACATTCAATCTTATTTAGGGGCAGACGAGTAACACGGGCAGAACCTGTTTTTCTTATTTTACCTGGTAAAACATTTTAAAATGATTTCTCCATTCCATCATTTTGCTCTATTTGCGGATTGACTAAAGAATCCAAATTAAGTTCCTTAAGTTAATTTTCACAAACTGAGATGCCAAAAAAGAGATATGAATACTTCTTACGAAGCGAAGAGTAAGACAGAGATTATCTTCAATTCCTGAAATAGTTAACGGAAATATAGAAAGTAACCACACCCCTTTAATAACCTCACTTTGAATTTATCCCTCAGATACAACAGGAAGTTTCAGGCAGATGCGACATCAGCTGCTAACGTCACCAAGGAAGGCTGCTTCTGTCCGCCGGACACCACGCGGTTCAACTCTGTGTATGACACATGTGTCACTTCCTGCGGTGAGAAAATACTTCAATCCTCTCAGGGAATGAAAACATGCCAGGAGAGACTGTTCTCCTTATGTCTGTTTGAAGAATTTAAGCTATATTTTAACTGAAACTTCATCCTCTCTGTTTACTTCGCTGTGTTTTCTTCTCAGACTGTGTTGGACCAGATGGAAAACCCAAACAGGTGAAAAACTTGGTGCATATCTCAGTGTGTACCAATAAATGCATATCCGAGGGTCTAAAATGGCTCATTTTCCTCCCAATCAGCCTGGTGATACATGGACAAGTGAATGCAACACTTGCGAGTGTGACGGCGATTCGATGAGTGTCCGCTGCGAGCCTGTGAAGTGCCCCGAGGTCCAGAGCCCCAACTGCAGCGAGCTCGGCCAGCAGCTGATCAACAAAACAGAAGGCTGCTGCACAACACAGAGCTGTGGTCAGTGTCTGTGCCGGATAGAGCATCCCTCAACCCCACAGGCATGGTTCTGTGCTGAGGAGGGAATAAATGCGTAAAAATACACAATTTTACAATAACTTTAAAAGGTCCTGGAAACTTAGAAATGAGACCAACACACAAACAGGAAAAAACATGCAAAAGAAATGCAGCAAAGGAGAAAAGTTTTAACTTAGGAAAGTCTGTTATAACAGGCTGATGACATGAAACTCCTGAGAAATGTAGAGTCTAAATTAAGTTCAGCTAGCAGCTGGCTAGCTCAATTGGTAAGTCACCCGTCCTGCAAGCCTGGGTTCATATCCCAGGGGGGTGGGATGAGCTGCCAGTGTTGGTACTTAGGCAGGACCCTTCACACTAATGCCTGCTTTGGGGGAGTTGTTGGGCATTAAGCTTGGAATCCTGAGGTTCTGAGTTCAAGCCCCACTCCCACAGACTGCCACTCTGGCTCCCTAAGCAAATTCTCTTAACCCCAAACTGCTCCTCAGGCGCCACACAATGGCAGCCCACTGCTTCCCAAGAGGACAGGTTAAATGCAGAGAGTTAATTTATTTGCTCTGTGCTTGTGACAGTGTAACGACAGCAAAGCAAAAATTATTAATAACAGATTCACGTTTGAATTATTTTTTTAATTTTACCTAATTTCCTCTAATTAGAGAAACTGTGAGTCTGGATTGTAATATGAAAGACAGAACTAAAGATTAGGGTGATGGCATGGAGGCTTCAAAGGCAACCCAGAAAAACCAGTGGACATTTGGAAAAACATAAAATGCAGATTTTAAAATGTGGGCAGGGATGTGGTTTCAGCTTTCTAGTATCTGTACTCATTCCAGAGCAGTGACTCTGGTTCTGTGATTAGGGATCAAACCAGGTCCACAACCCACGTGTGAATGGGTTTTTTATCTGCATCTGACTGGGGTTTCTCAGCAGTGAGCCCCAAGAACTGAGATTTAATAGAAACTGAGTGAAAGTCTGGTGCCTTCGATTTTTGACTGTTGTGGTCATGAAACATTATGTTCACAGGTTTCAGGTAACTTATTTTGTATCCAACAGAATGTAACTTGAACCTGTGTGCTGCTCCTCCCTCCTGCTCACTGGGCTTCCAGCTGAACGTTGCCAACGGGACCTGCTGCCAGTCCTACGAGTGTGGTGAGCGACTCTAACCTCCTAGCTACTCTAGTCCCTCTAAAATCTGCCGCAGGATGGTTAAAACGCAACAAAAAGCTCAGACATGATGGAAAGACATGTATATATTTTATGTCTTCTGGTTTAATTCAGAATTATTGAGTTTTGCTGTTAATTTTCTACATTTCGTGTAAGATTTAGAGCAGATACCTACAAAGAACATACAGGAACATCGAACATTAATAATTACACTCATATACAACATCGAAGGGCTTTACAGAATATTGATGCCCCGATACCTGGCTGTGCAGTATCGGCCGATACCAATACCATACCGATTGATGTGTTTGTGCATATATGAAGAACTTTATACAACTTGGATGTAAAATAATTGCCATTATGGCTTTATCACGCTGCTGCCTACCTTTGTGAAGCAAAAAAAAAAAGACTAATACAAAGTGAATCCAGTTGAACTTTTTATTGCCTACCTGGAATGGGTGACAATAGGTGAATAAACTTTTGGCTCTCAAAATGGTATCGATGCCCTATTTGTTGGTACTTGCCGATACCAATACCACAATTTTAACGCTGGAACGGGGCCCTTCAAAAACATTTTTTCATAAGAACCAAAACAACAATCAGTGAAAGGAGGTTAAAAGTCATTTTGCGGTAAAATAATTTTTACGCTCAATTTATTCAATGTAAGTTAAAGCACAGTTTGGGATAATAGAACTGGATCCTTCTATCACCTAAATACGATGACTGGAAACATCGTTTATAACCAGACTCGTCTGTTTTTTTTGTCTGCAGTTCCTAAAGGTGTGTGTGTCTACGACATGACTGAGTTCAAGGTGAGGACATCCAAAGAGATGCATGAATAAGAACAATTATGTCAATTTGTTCAGTCGGTTCTGACTTTCGTGTGTTTTTTCTCTGATAAAACTGAATCTATTCAAGCCATAATTACCCATTTGTTTTGTATCATCTTTGTATGAAATCCTTATAGAAATACACACTTCGTTGCATTTAAGCTCTAAGATTTCATGTTTTTTTTTTGAAGGTCATAATAATACTTTATTAACACTAAAAGATTCAGCGTAATCATCACAGCCATTGGTTGGATGTAAAGGTTGTAGCTTTGAAACTCAGTCTATTAATGTCCCTGAATCCAGAATCGGATAAAAATGCAGATGAAAAATTTCCCCTGAAAGGTACAATTAGATCTAAATAAAAAGTTAGATTCTCAAGAAATTTTTGAAAATCCATCTTAAGTTTGGGACTTAAAAGAAAATATCCTAAATTATGAATTTTAAAGAAGTTTGTTGCCTTAAAATCTTGATTTCTGACAAATTTTCTTTCTTTTCTTTTCTTTTTTTTATTATATAAATCGACCCTGAACCTAACTAGAACACTGCAGAGTTTGATGCTGTGGAAAAGCTAACAGGCTTTATGTGGTTTTACAGCCTGGTGCAAAGATACCGACACCTCAGCAAGCATCAGAAGCTCCACTGGAAGAACCATCAGTAGCCAGAACCTCTGCAGAAACAGTCCTGAATGGCTCTGATACTCCTGCACCCTGCCAGGAGTGTTACTGTGGTCCCAAAACAGATCCCACCACCAAGCTCAACATCATCACATGCACACCGGTGCTCTGCAACACCAGCTGCTCTCAAGTAAGATGACTCAGCAGAAGTCACTGTTTCACACAGTGGAAGAAATGACCTCGACAGTTTGGCTCATAAACCCAATAAAGATGGAGGAGAAAACTTCCTGAGGCTGCATCACAGGACAGGGAGGAGCTGCTGCTCACTACAACACAGAGATGCAAGAATCAAGCTCAATACTTAATACGATTTAGATAAAGGAAAAGATTTATACCATAATTAGAAGCTTAATAAAGTTGGTTTCACAGGATATATACCTTTTAAACCTCCCTGGTCTTATAAAGGTAGTTTGATATAAGTTGGATCAGAGACCATAACACCATCTTCATCCTCCTACTTCTGTCTGCAGGGATTTGAATATGAGACCAAGGCAGACGCCTGCTGCGGGACATGTGTCCAGAAGAGCTGTATTTTTACGTACGACCAGAATGTACATGTTATTGAGGTCAGTTCATCAAATGTGTTGTTTTTTAAATATTACATACGGAGTGAGGTCTGTGCCGATATTGTTACAAAAGCAGAGCAACCTTTTTAGATTAGAATTTTACATAAGATTAGACAGATTTATTTAGCCATTTCATGAGTGTATTCAAAAAGAAATTTCGTTTTAAACAGCACTAGACAATTTCATTTTTCTGAAGTGCAGCCTTGAAAACAGTAATAAATATAAAATAGTAATATAAACATATGACTGTATATTTACAGTTCTAACATATTTTTTATATAAATAAAATAACCAATTTTACATAACAAAAATTAAATGAAATGTAATTAATTGTTGTGTAATTGAATTAAATGGTATTTGTCTAGAAATGCAATCTGGTGATTAAATTTTGAAAAAGATTTTTAATCCAAAAGGCTTTGAGAAACAATTTGCATTTATTTATATATATATATATATACATATACACACATATATATATATATACATACACACATACACACACACACATAGACTTTTTGTATCTCTTTTTGTATCTCTTTTCTAGATTAAGTTTTATGAATTGCTTTGTTTACTGGGGGTTGAAGTGAAAAAAATGCAATCTACAAACTCAATCTAAAAAGAAGAGAAATTTGACAAAAAAAAAAGAGAAAATATAAAATCTGTAAAATAAAATTTTAAATTATTTTTCTAATTAAAGAGAATTTGAGCAAAGTTACTTTTAAAAGTTTTTTCGATCAGGAAGTTTTTTGAAAGCTTCATTTCTAAACCTTATGTTATTTATTTCCATTTAAAAAGCTTGATCTTTGCTTTCAACTAAAAAGAAACTAAATTCAGTCATTACATAAAGTTGTAAACTTGCTTAGCAGTTCTGCTATTTTTATTAGATGGAAACACATTTAGGCCAGCTTTTCCTGATTGGATTGCTTTTTGTTTTTGCACAGGTCAACAGCACCTTTGTACCTCCTGGTGACAAATGTTTGCAGTACACATGTGAGAAGATCAACGGCCAGATCGTGATGAAGGAAACAAAGACCACCTGTCCTCCCTTCGACCCGCTGGACTGCGAACCTGTGAGTTTCATCCTGTGAAGATTAAATATGGTTCAACTTCCCATCAGATCTTCATAGACTATTAGATTTAATCTTGCTTAAGATCATGACACAGGATCTGAACTCATAGTTGTACTACCAAATGGGATGGCGGTGTTCTGTCAGATGAGCATACCCGTTCAGACCAGCATACCCATAGTTAATACCTGTTAACCCCTTTAGTTTATCCCTTTAAGTTTTGCATAAAAAATAAACTTTAAACTACCTTAATGGGCTTGTATCCTTTTAGTCATGCACAAATAAACTATTTAATTACTTATTTTTCCATGTTTTTTGAAGCGTAAGGCGATCTGACCTTAAATAGTTTTGTTTTTTTACCTGACTAAATGGATACACGCCTGATGAGGTACTTTAAAGTCTATTTTCCGTACAAAACTAAAGTGATGAACACAAATCTGACGTCTTGCGCATTCGTATTGACTATAGGTATGCTGGTCTGACGGGATATGCTCATCTGACAGAACACTGTCTCTCACCGTTTTGGATGCTCTCACCGATACTGACAGTCTGGATGTCATTTATCTACCAAAGTCCAGTTATTAACGAGCATTGCTTTGAAGGGTGCAGCCTGTGGGGAGCAACTCATGATGCTGAATGGCTGATTTAAAAATTGCTTTTCTCTCATGTTTCAAATATGCTCAACTGAAAAACAACCTAGATTCTATAACCTCAGAGTAACATAAATATCTGAAGTTTTAATGCCGTTACAATTTTTATTGGCTAGATAAACGTTCCTTATTTTGTATGATCAAATGTCCCGTTTTGCTTCTTCACCATGTATGTAGCGACTAACAATAATAAAAATGAGCAAAAACAATGTTTTAGGAGACTTTTAGAGGGTTGACTTTAAAAAAATTTGATTTAGGCACAAGTCCTGTTAATTTAGGGTTACTACATAGTCGACTGGTGAGGAGAATCCCCTCCTTTACAATATGTGATGGGTCACAGAATAAGGTATAACATCAGATACTTTATTACTCAAAATGAAAGGTAAAGCGCACAGGAAGCTCTTTACCTTCCTCTATCCTTTGCATCCATGCCACACATTCTAACCCCCCCCCTTCTTCATCTAGGGAACCGAGACAACTGATGCCAGCGGCTGCTGCAAAACCTGTAAGTTAAAGCATCATGTGGAAATGTGCCACATGGCAGCTGGGTGTCTAACATGACGGAGTTTAAGAGCTGTTATATGTTCCAGGCAAACTGCAGAGCCTCTGTAAGGTGGACAGCAAGCTGACTGTCATGGAGGTGAACGGCTGTGTGAGCGCTGAGCCAGTTAACGTCACATCATGTGCCGGACGCTGCAAAAGCTCATCTATGTAAGAATATCTGTCAATATTTCATAGATTTGAAGGTTTTAGCAATAATGTTAAACACTAATCTTTAGCATATGAAATTTTGCAAAAAAATGTATAGATTGATTGTTTGAATGCCTAAATTCACGTATTTGTCAGCTTAATAAAATAATTCCAGTTAAAAGTTTAAGTCGAAAAAATATTATTGTTTAAGGAAAGAAGCCTATTTTAGATGGTGAACCAGTATAAAACCTGTTGATGTGTTTATGTCTGCAGATACTCAGCAGCAGCTAACACGATGATGCACCACTGTGAGTGCTGCCATGAGGCCAAGACCAGCACAAGGCGTCTGGAGCTGACCTGTTCTGATGGCTCCAAAGTCCAGCACAGCTACACCCATGTGGAAACCTGCCACTGCAGCAAAGAGGAATGCCCAATCAGCAGCACATCTAAACCCCAGCGCCGCCGGAGACGCTGACCTGTCACAAGCTGACCATAAATCATGCAACCTTTCCAACCTGCTCTTATGTATAGTGCAATGTGCTCTTCTACAGGGTCACTGTTAGAAATAAAACTCCTTCTGTATTTCTCTGTCTTACAAAGAATAAATATATATCAGCAAAATTATCCTTTGTGTTTTGAACTTTTGTGGAAAATGTGTTGAATAAAACAAGTTAAGCAAAGTTCTAAGCCAACCTGAAACTAGATCTATAGCAGCTGAAATTTACACTGCAGTTAAATAGGGGAGTAAAGATGTAGTAGAGGCCCTCCAGCACCACAGGGTGATACAAGCAGTCAGTGGTAAAACATCAAAACAAGATGTTTAAACAAGAAATTCATATTGATTAAAATGACAAAGAAAAAGTGAGGGATGTGTTTTTTTAATTTGAAGTGGAGTCTAAGATGGTTAGAAAGGCAAAAAAGATGTACTCAAGTAAGGAAGTCATACAAAATTAAGAGAATTTAAAAAGTAGTTTTTAGTAAACTAGTTAATTATATTTATTATATATAGTTTTTAACACATTTTCTAAAATGAAGACAACATAAGAACATGAGTCTCTAATTACTGGTTGTGGGACAGACCACTTAACAAGATAGCAGCGTCTCACTTTATTAATGAGCTATAAAGTATAAGTGGGCGGAACCCCGGACACTGCAAAAAGTCCTTTTTTCTTCCAATAACTGCATTTTTCTTTGATTTGGCAAGTACGACAATTTGCCAATAGAATAAAATGATTTCTGTCTAAAATTAGAAAAAGCTTTAAGTGCATAACATGTAATTACCTTATTTCAAACATACAATTTCTTATTTCATTGCCAAAATTATCATGTTGACCAGCTCAAATAAGGTGAAATGCTTATTTAAGATCAGTGTTTACAGTGTATGTACATGTAAATACATACACCTGCAGGCAGACATGATGATATGCTCAGTACTACTTCAACTGACAGTGATGCAGCACACACAGGTCTAAAGAGAAAAAAAAACAACCCTTAACTGCGGGGGTGGACTCAGGTTTCAGGTCTCAAAAACATTCAATACAGCGATAGTTGATTCTTCCTACTATCATAATCCTCACCGCCATGCAGGGGACCAAGACATCCTGCCTGGTCAGCCAAGCTAACAACGACCCTAAAAACTCCCCTTTCAAAGGCATAGACCAGTATGGAGTGTTGCAGGCTAACAAAGACCTCAATGGCTCCCCGTTACTCAGGTGGGAACCTGTTCTTGCGGGGCTACTCTATAAAGCTTGGAACTCAACACTAATCCAGACATTTTGAAGTGAAAAAACTTCCTGGATGGGAAGCGAAACGTCTTCAAACTTGGAAAACAAAGTCCAGTGGATTGTTGTTGTTTTTTTTACTTTTTTCAAATGACTATGACATGGACTGAAAATCTTCATCGCGGCTATTATAATAATACTATTATAATTATTAGTATATTATCTACTTCCAAGCAGAAGTACCCTGTGGAAATAGAGGAGCTCCACGGAGAATGGACCCAAGCCGGATTAAACACCTTCCTACTGAAACAGTACTAACAATTGCAACATGCTGGAGCTCCATCAAAGTACAACTCCTGTTCCTTTAAGAGATGTACGTCCGCCCTCATGTATTTGAGAAGTCTCCCAATCGAAGGCGTAACCCGGAGGACAGGGGAACCTGGAGGAGAAGGTGAGAGCTAGGCATGGTCTCATCTGTGATTGACACACTGGTGCTTACAGCGACAGAAACATGGAGAGCAGAGCGACCCCAGCGATGAGACGGAGCGGTAGATTCTCTCTCCACCTTCTTCACCGCACTGCAAAAGCTAAAATCTAAGCAAGTTTATTCTTTAAAATCAGTGCTTCTTCCTTGGTTTTGAAGAGGTTCAACAATTTATCAATAAAATAGGATGATTTACATTTAAAAGGAATAAAAATTATATTAAATCCATAATATACAACCATCTTATTTAATTCAATACAATTCAGTTTATTTATAGAGCGCCAATTTAGAACACGTCATCTCAAGGCACCTTACAATTCACCAGATCATACAGTCAAATTGATTCAAAGTTTTCTATCTAAGGAAAACCAGTTGATTGCATCGACTCATTGACTCATTGGCAATCCCTCACACTATGCATGCTTGTAGCCCCAGTGGAGACGAAAAC